ATATATATATATATACAGTATATTACATACATACATGCACACACACACAGTAAATAGTGAAACACTTCACCAAAACCAGGCTGCAACTCAACCTGAAGCGTCCATGCCACTCCTGGGCAGTGTGAGGACATTGTGGGATCTCCAACAGGATTCCCATGATGAGTGCCTTTAAAATAAATCAATTTTCCAATTTTGCAGCTGCCATTTAATACTGGCTGTGTCATCAAAGGCCCAACACTCCAAATAAAAGCACAGCAGACCTGCTTCGGTGGTGAGTAGAAGTCAGAGACATTTCCAAGTCCCATTCGGGGGCCTGTGATGAGGGGCTTTTGCTCACGTTAGAACTGAGCTTCTCTACACATATAAGCCAATGGGAATGCAAAAGAAGCTTGATGCAGTTTAGAAGCAGGTCAAATGTATTTCACAAAGATGTCAACTGAAGGTCAGAAGGAGGTCAACTGCAGGTCAGAAGGGGGTCAACTGAAGGTCAGAAGGAGGTCAACTGAAGGTCAGAAGGTGGTCAACAGCAGGTCAGAAGGAGGTGAACTGCAGGTCACAAGGCGGTCAACTGAAGGTCACAAGGCGGCCAACTGATGGTCAGAAGGAGGTGAACTGCAGGTCACAAGGAGGTCAACTGAAGATCAATTGCAGGTCAGTAGGAGGCCAACTGAAGGTCAGATGTACATGTCAATTAATTCTAAATGATCTCCAAAGCATTTTAAACTGAGGTTAAATGCAGGCTGAATTCTCCTGTAAGCAAGCTGCATAGGCCCATTAACACCTATAACAGTTAAAAGCCAGGCCATGCCAGTATAAGAATGAAACGAGGGAGGGAACCAATACGGTTACTATGGTTTAAGTGCCATAGAAAAATAAAAAATAAATTTGTACAATTTCTGCCTCAAGTTTAATAAATGAAACAAAGACACGATCCCAAATGACAGCGAGGATCTCTTTTCCTACAGGCAGAGGAAGACACGAGAGGAAAACTTACTCAGGGGTGGAATTACATTTGGGTAATTGGGGTTCATATTAATCATAACATTGTATGTAGAAATATTACCTCTCTGGCTTATTTCACTCAAAATGGACAATAAATTCGGATGGGGATAATCGTTCTTTAGCACATAGAGACATTCCCAAAACCCAACCACGGCATTCCTTCCCAAGTCAGAAATATCCTGTAACAGACGGCTGGAGAAGGAAGCGGCTCCACATTCTCTTCTTACTGACAGGTGGATCTGAAATAGATATTATTATTTGTTAAGACTCAGTAGTAATAATAATTTGCATTGTCATTCTATTTTACCAAAATAAAAGGGATTCTGCTATAGATTATACTTACCTACAACCCCGGAGTGTTTTGTTCATATTTTATGTTTGTCATGGACCAGCCTAGCTAGCAGGTTCTGTGCCTGCAGTCCAAGTCTAAGGTATGATATTCCCAACTGGTCCCTGAGACAAATGCGTGCATTCAAATCCTAGGCAACTCTAGATCTATATCTCATAACACTGATACCTTGCAATACTCCAAAAGCCTGATGGTGTGGAGAGAAGAAATGGAGTGCAAACACGGCAGATACATTTTAGAATGTGAGACACTTAATAATAATTTGTAGTGTATTGGTGTATTTATCAAATGCAGAACCGCATTATGGCCACTAGATGGAGCAGAGGAACATTGGAAATTCCTATGCCCTTTGGCTCCATCTAGTGGCCACAATACAGTGCGCATGTATAAATCAGATGTAGAGAAAATAGTCACCTGCACACCATAGTTTAATGCATCAATACGTCTTTGTTTGACATCAAGAAAAAAGAAAAGGCTAGTTGCACTCCTTACCGGTATGACCCCGTGATCGGGGAGGGGTGCTCGGAATGACTGCGGATGGCGCCGCCAAATACAGATAATTGCAGAAACGTCACCAGCACACCAAATCCTTATAGGATCAAAGTTCGTAGATTTTATTGCAAACTCATGTCAGTTACACAAGCGCTTTCGGGGCCACACAGGGTCCCTTCATCAGGCATAGCAATGACGTCATTGCTATGCCTGATGAAGGGACCCTGTGTGGCCCCGAAAGCGCTTGTGTAACTGACATGAGTTTGCAATAAAATCTACGAACTTTGATCCTACAAGGATTTGGTGTGCTGGTGACGTTTCTGCAATTATTTGTTTGACATCAGACACACATGACATCACCTATAGAAGCTTCTATGCATGATGCCATGTATGTCTGACGTCAAATAAAGATAGATGAAAGTAGCCACTCGCACTCCATGATATTTAAAGTCAATGCTGTTTATTGACTGAGATAACACACATCTTCTTGCTAAGGAATACACATACACATCTTGCTAAGGAGATGTGTGTTATCTCAGTCAATAAACAGCATTGACTTTAAATATCATGGAGTGCGAGTGACTACTTTCATCTATCTACATTTCACGGAGGCATCCGTTGTCACCACCGCACCCACCCAGTTGGATTTGGGTTTTCGTCCGGTCAAGAGTGCGATGGGACAGGAGGATTAAATGACGTCAAACAAAGACGTACTGATGCATTGAACTATGGTGTGCGGGTGGCTATTTTCTCTACGTTTTGGATTTGTGTGGCACCCTCCGCATATGATCTCAGCACCCTTCTGCATTGTTGTGGTATTCGGGTCTGGAGTGCAATGGGACATTTGCAATTGTAAAAGTCAGATGTTCGCAAAGCAAACGGCTGCGCAAATGTTTTATGAATACACTCACAAGTGTAGAGAACGAAAAATCAAGAGTACTAGTTGTATTGCTCTATTAAGGACTTAAACCACCCCCCCCCCTCGCGCCGC